CTCTGCCTGGACTCCTACAAATGCTGCTTTGTCCTTCACTAACTCCTCCTCTTTCCATAGGTCTCAGCTTAGGTAACACTGCCTCCAGGAAGCCCTCCTAGCTTCTGAGCCCACCAGGCTAATGGTGGATGCCTCCACACTGAACTCTCATGGAAATCTCTGGCAAGTTCAGAGGCTTATTGACATTTTTTTTTTCTTTTTCTGATTGTCTTTCTCATAGATCTGCATCATCCAAAAGGGTAGTCACTAGTCATATGTGGCCCTAGAAACTTAGATTAATTAAAATAAAATAAAATAAAAATCAATTTTTCTGTTGTGCTAGTTGTTTATCAAGGGCTCAATAACCGTATGTGGTCAGTGGCAAATATATCGCCCAGCACAAATATAGACCATTTTTATTATTGCAGAAAGTTTTATGGGACAGCACTCTATTATAGAATAGGAGGTGGCTGAGGGCCGGGTCTGCGATATACATCTCTATGGTTCCAGCACTTGTATCTACCAGGTGGGCAATACAGACTTGCCGAATTAACTAATCACATGCTTTAGTAACTAGGCTTTTTGTTTTGAACACCTTCTAAATGCCAGAAATCATCCCATGTAATGGGGATACGATAGTGTCAAGCCCCCAGATTTCTTGGCTCACAGCCTAGTGAGGGGTATGTAAAAAACTAAACCAAAGAAAACATACAAACAAATGCGTAACACAATCAGAAGTTCAGGAAAGAACCCTGGAGGAACTGCACAGACCACTGCTGCATAAAATCTGGTAAAGGGGCAGAGTGAAATTAAATGAAACTGGAAACAAGTTTAAGGCCAGATTCTGATGGGCCTTGAATTCCATGCTAAGAAGCTTGAACTTAATGCACTGGCCCATTTAAGACTTTTAAGCAGCAGAGTTAACTTGATCCAATTTGTGCTTCTAAAGGACCACCAGCAGCTGGGTGGGGGATGGACTGAAGAAAGAGAAGCCATGGCAGGCAAACCAGCAGGGACACCTTGGCAGGTCAGGGGAGTGGTGTGCAGGAGGGGAAGAAGGAACTCAGCCAGAGCTGGTCTGGAGTTGAGTGGACAGGTCTTGGTGATGGATCGGATGGGAAGGGGAAGGAAGGGGGAGAAAAAGACATCCCCCAAGAAGCTTAGAATTTATTCTGCTACAGAATCTGGGGCTCTGCCCCCAGCCTCACTTTAGGGACTGCATATGGGCAATTAATTCATGGCCAAGTTACTTTCTTAAGAAGGTTACTACAGATACATCAACGTGACAGGTGGGGTGTGGGGTAGAAGGCTCGGTGTGTTCAAGTCAGAGCTGAATATTAGATTCTAGTCACTATTTGATTGATCTTTTAAGCAATTCTGGGATTCTGTCACTTAAAAACCAATAAATCTTTGAAGGCCTGAGGAAAGCAATGCAAAAGCAATAAATCTCCATTGTGGAATATTAGGAAAATAGGCCAAGCTGCCAAGGTGGTTTGGCTGGAGGGATGAGGGTGTGGGAGCCCCACACAGAAATCCTCCCTGCCTGGTGCCCCTCCTCGCCCCCCTGCACACTCCATTTGACCAGATAGAGTCAGATCCATGGGGCTTCAAAGGAGCAGCAAGCAGCAGAACAGGAGTCCGAGTTTGGCTAAGCCGGGGTCCAAGCACTGACGTCAGGAGAAAAACAGCCTTGCTGGGTGGGGCCTGGAGGCTGAGGCTCAGGTGTGAGTCTGTTTGAGACTAGGCAGCTCCACTCAGAGAGAGCCCCACTGGAGCTCACACATTCTGGGCTGGGCCTGTCTTGCCCGCCCCTCATCCCCTAGTTTGTGGAGGTTCACTCTGTAGCATCCTCCCCAAAGGGCCCCCCAGTCATCACTTGCCATGCCAGGCAGGGGAACTCAGAATTTCCCTGGGAGCAATGAACTCAGAGCCAGGAAACTAGGTCTATGTACTGGCTTGTCCTGTCCCATAACCTTTGTCTGGAGCCATTAGAGCCTGGCTGCCTGCCTGTCCAGAGCCAAAAGAGCCCGCCCAGCTATTGCCTCGAGGCCCCAGAGCCTTGTTTGCTGTTATCTTCCGTCCCTCCCCATTCTGTGCACTATGGTGTAGGTAACTTTGCAACTTGCCATAGATAACGGGAACTTTCCATTTACCGGAACAACCCGCCCTGCGGTTTTCTCAGTAAACCATCTGCATACTTAATTATCTGCTGATTCCCTCCTGCTGTCTATATAAACTGTGACCTTCTGGCTAATAAATGAGACTTGATCAGAATACTGTCTTGTCTCAATTTCTCACATCTCTTGTTCCATCCCATTCCCACTCCCCACTCCAGGGTCTGCGTTG